ACTTCCCAAATGTAATCTTTGAGACAAGGCCTTTTTTAATAAACCAACAACCTTGACCCTTTGACCTTGACCCCGGAGTTCGTCCTACAATTAAAAAACGTTAACCTTGGTCATAACCTTTGAACAGGTGGTACTAGGTTTTATATTTTTACACATTTGTATTTCTTGTGAAAAGGCCTTACTTTAGGTACCAACATATTTGATCTGCATTTGAGAAAGCTTAACCTTCGCTATATTGCCATACAGGGGCATCTCTGTTTCACAAATACATCTTGTTTAATACTGAATTTGACAAGGAAACGCTCCGCCTACCTGATCAATACAAAGCGGCGGGTGTGACCGGTCAACAGGGATACTTAATCTTTCCAGCACCTGATCCCACCTCTGGAATTCGCAGGGGTCTGTGTTTTAGGCCCTCTTCACATTTCATTCAATATTTATTTCGAATATAGACATTACAATAACTTTTTCATATTTTCATCAAAATTTTCAGAGCTGCGTTTGATTTTCCGAATAAACTATGTACCCTTTTAGCTGAAATATATCTATAATACATGCTCATTCCTCCATGGCACCTGATCCCATCTCTGGTGTTTTGGAGGTCCGTGTTTGCTCTGCTCCTATTTTGTATCGTTTTATGGACTTTTGATCTGGAATACTGTTCGTTATCTCCATATGTTTTTGTACAATTTTTGTAGTCTATTTGTACTCTAAGATTATTGGAGCTTTTTCTTACAGACAGAGATCAAAATATATGCCTGTATTGGTTCCGTTACGTGCGCTTTAAAACGTAATACTGTAAATGCATTACATTTGGCGTGTACGATATTTGGCGGAGATTTAATTTTCAACAAGTTAGCGTAGATTTGATTTAGCACTGTCTGAATTTGCTAGTTATGAAAGTTAATATACAAGACATTAAGCGATGTTCTTGAATTAGCAATCTCTGCTTTCCGCCAAAATCGCTCAATAGATTACACCGCTAAATGTAATACGCTTACAGTATATCATAAATCGTGTTTTGATTGTATCATTTTCCTTTTTATAGTACATCATTGGGTGCAATCGATTCCTGAAGTTTAATGCAGAAATTTATATAATTCTGATCAATTAAAAGAATTAATTATTGCTGTGCATCCAGGGTATGGTATATTAACACAAAAAAATCACTTTGTTTCAAAGGTCGTATTTAGAGAATTTTAAATCTATCTTGTGAAGCTACAGAGAGATACCAGGCCTCAGGAGCATGAAACAAACTTAGACTTAAGTCAAATTTTCAATTGCTTATAAAAAATATTAATTATGGAATTTATTTTTAAACTTGAAGATATCAACACTTCTGTGAAATAATTTTGAAAAATACTTTAATTTTGGTCTGCTTGAGTACTACAACAATTTATTATCAAATAGAGATTTTTACTTAAGCTTAAGATGTTTCAAGATCCCGGGGCCTGGTGTTTTGGTAAAGATCAGATAAATTGACAATCTTCTTAGACTTAAAATAGCTAAGAAGGGTCGACTTTATCAAATGACCACTTTTTGCAGTGTAATACCGAGGAAAAAGTATTAATTTCCATCTTAGATTAAGCCCCGGATGGACAATAACAGAACATTAAGAATTTTGAAGAAACAATCATTTGCCCAATTAGAAAGCAACAATACCTCTCTAAACCAAAACATGGACAGTGTCAGTAATCTCTCTAGGTCAACATTAAGTGATGGTTCATGGTCGATAATCTTTCAAATCTGGACCCGATCGTGTATTTTTGAAGAATCTTGTTTATGAACAAGAGTACCGCCTACATTCTTTTAGGTTAGGTCACGTTAAGTTCAGGAAACCAATTTCTGTTTATAACAGGAGGTTTTTTACGCTGAAGATTTTCTTTCAGACACAAGTTACAGTGATCAGTTTGCTTTGTAAGACGATGAAGACCATAATTGTGAATATCTTTGTGTATTTTAGGATACTTTCACTATGTATCAACAATGTTAAATTCTTTTAAAAAATAACCGGAAAGATTACTTTAAATCCTAATTAAATTCTGCTGTGAAGTTTTAACATTGAAATAAATAGAGTTATAACGAACAGTATTCAAGTTCAAAATTAATTTTATTTGGAAAAGATAAATTGTTTTTAATCATTCCATTCGATGTTTCAGTTTGGTAACACGCATTTGATGAGCCTCGATTTAATTTGATATCAAGTAGAAATTTCAACATTGTTTGCAGAGCTGATACAAAAAAATTATACATGTATTCAGGTCAAAAAGAATAGCAACCTCTTGACCGACAGAATATCTAACGTATAAGTTAGTTTTATATTATGTTTGCTCTTCCTGCTTCGAATTCGCATACCTATATTGGATTCCAAAACACTAATAAAATCTTATCAAAAAAGGCACTTAAAGGGTTCCAGTAGATGCTCTACCTTGCCTCTTTCTTTACTCTTCTCAAAAATAGTTTTAGTTGTGAAGGAGAACCTTCAGAGGTACTGTACAAGAGTATATTCGGGAAGTGATGTAAACCAGATGTGGATACTGAAATACTCGAAGGAACTTTTAGAAAATTTGAAATTACAAAATGTTGCCAAAATTATTAAAATCAAAATATACGTTTTTCAACATTTAATAAAATTATTCCCACAATACGTTAAAAAAAAATGTTTTTTGACATCCTAGACAGCTGTTTTTTTTTTTAAGTAAAAATTGAATTTTTTAAATATACTTAACTTGCCATTGGTCTTTTGCAAGATTATTTCCAAAAAAGTTTGTGGAACACAGACGTAATCTGAAGTTAATATTTAAAAGAAAATTGCTTTAGTTTCTAATTGACAAAATCTATTTAGGTTTTTGGGGTTTTGGTTTTCCGACAATCTGTTTTTGGGGGTTACCACTTGCACTCCAATATGAAAGACCATTTTGTATTAATTTGAAGCAGAATTTATTTAAAAACTTCAACAAGAGAAGAAGGAAACCCATTATATCTTTTAACTCTACTTTTAGCTAAATCGACTACGGATCATCAATTAACAATAGTTAGTTCCATATGACGATTCGATACATCCCAGCGATGATAATAGATGTTATAGTTGCTATTGATATTGAAAAACAGGCTTATAGATGGACGAAATCCTTTTTTGCAAAATCCACGGTAAGTTTAAGTGTTAAAGTAGATACGCGTTCCACTTTTTTTTCCCCTTTTTTCAACTTGAAAAATTTAATTTTCTTTTATTGACCTCTTTCTTTACATGTTGGCAACTTTATTTCGATATGTCGTATGTAACTTTCTGTTATACGTCGGGTGCACTATTTTTTTTTCATCGAAAAAGAAGAAGCAAATGTACAATTTTTACTGAATTTGTCAACACATTTTGAGGAAAAAAAGCTTTTCAACCTCATTAAAAAAAAATAGAGAAATGCTTTATGAGATTGAAACAGATGGCGGTAACGAACAGTATTCAATATCAAAAGTCCATAAAACAATAAAGAATAGGAGCAGAGCAAACACAGACCTTTGAAACATCAGAGGTGGAATCAGGTGCCATGGAGGAGTGAGCATCCCCCGTTGACCGGTCAAAACCGCCGTGTGCTCCTTATCATGATCGGGAAATAACAGAAAAATCCTTCGTCAATTCAAAGTATAAATAATGGATTAACAAATAGTATGAAAAACGTCAGCCAGTATGATAAATTGTATTTGCTGACAAGGTCATTGTATCGACCATAGAACTTACGATATGATGACTTAAACGAGACTGCTGATATTACTGTTTCATCAACTTTTTTGTCAATAATTTACCTCGTTTTAGAAATTGTTCATACGTACAGCATGCTCTTGGGTATCGAATTAACTGAGAAAAGAAAACAGAAAGTTAAAGCCATCACGTTTATCGTAGAGCTTGGTTGTAAGATTATCATAAACTTTTTTTTTATCAAGTGAAATATCCAAATAATGAAACAGATGTGTCAGACCCTGTGGTATCTTTACTCTCAAGCTCACCAGAATATATCGTATCGACATAGGAATGGAAATTACCATTGTTTATTGACAATACGTCGTCTATATACTAGTATCTAAATGTCGAAATGAAGGCCACAGCAAGGTTTTTCTCCTTTTCACCCATAAGATTTTGCACAAATTCTTCTTCATATACATGTATATACAAAACTAGGTCTGCTTATAACGGGGCGCAATTGGTACCCATGGGAATAGATTGTTGGAAGACCTGGTCTCCAAAATGCACATAGATATTGTCAATCAGAAACTCGAGCATTTTTTATGTCAACTTCAGAGTACTTGTGTGTACAATCAGAATGTGTTTTAACAAAATAATTTTGCAGACCAATGGCAAGGTAAGTAAATTTACGAGTTCCACTTTTATTGAAAAAGCAGCTGTCAATGATATCAAAAAGCCTGGACTTTTTTTTAATGGTTGTATTACATTGTGTATTTGCTTATCTATTGCAATATTGCCATTCTGGAAAACTTAAATATTACTTGAAATACACAACTCCTGCTCCACAAATGTCTTATCAATATATACTTTCAATCTCATCCAGAGAACTTCACACATTTATATATAATTTCCCCCCATAAAAAGATTTTTTTCTTCTTCGGATGTATGTATGTAACAGAATTGACATCAACTTGTCTTTGTGGTTTTTGAATAGTTCTTTGTATGTTTGTACAAACCATAATTCTAAAAACAGGAAAAGTGAAACGTTTAACAAAATGTATAAATAACACATGTTATTTTTAATACAGGGCTTTAAAAATCAGTATTGTTGTTGTGCGATAACTTGTTCACATGTGTCAATAGTAAGCATGCAAACAATAATAAACAAAGTGTTGATGTTATGAATGACTACTACTGGTACAGCATCAAAGACCACTACAGCAGTCCATATATCAATCATTATAAGCCACGCCCCCAATAATTCTTATAGTATTATATAAATATTGGACATGCTTTAATTCACTGTAGTATTTTAGAGACAAGTGTGTCACCAGTCTTAATGCTACCTGGAATTATAAACATGCTAAAGTAAGCTTTCGTCAACCTTCATAAAATGTGATGGATAATCTACCATTCTCTACTATAGATGTACCGGAATTTTGAAATTATGGCCCGTGAAAAAAAAGTTTTGTTGAATAGATATATATATATATTTTTATTTATTATGTATCCTTGATAAAAAGCGGATGAACATTGTACGAGCATTTTAAGGATAACTTGATTTATTTCCTTTTCAAGATTTCCTTTTGACCATCTAGCTAAGATTCACTTAAAATAGGGAATGTTTTTTTTTATTCTTGTTTTACAGCAAGTTAAAGCAAGGATATGGTTTTAGATAATAGTTATCAAAGTAAGACTGAAAACAAATGATTTGTCATGCTTTATTCTGCATAAAGCTTGTTTTAATATACATATAAATCTGCAGTTATATACAGTTATATACAGTTTTTGATGTTGGCTTTCAGTTTGGTTGGACAATGAAGCTTCTGGTAACGGTTTTGTTTGCCATCATCTTACAACTGGGAGCAGGAAACGAGCTGCAGGCCTGTGGCTCTGCACTTACCGACATTTTGTCCCTTGTCTGCAGAAACCAGTTCCACGACGCGGCAAAAAGACAATACCTGACGGGTGAGATATCGATTCCGATCATTCTATTGATGTGTACTAAACACTCAAATTAGGTGTAATAAAGTATTATCCCGACTAGTGTGAAGAGCAATATAGTACATTATCACTCCTTAAAATAGATAGCTAGCCAAGGGGTTAATAAGGCAATATAATTCCGGGGTTGTTATACAATAAATTATTTTGTTACATAACCTTATTAAAAAAGTTAAAGTATTCAACGTGACTGAAAAAAGATCAGTTTGAGACCTTTGAAGAATTGAGTTAAAAATGTTAAGTCATTGTTATTGAGAAAATATATTTATTTATATCTACAATTTACGCTAAAAAGAGGAAAAAGACATCTGTTTAGAAAAGGTTTCAGAAAGGTAATTTATTTACGCATGATTCATTGAACAGAAGGGTCGACACAAAGTATTCCAATTTAGAAAAACTAATATATTAAAAAGAGATGAATTAAATAACGGAATTGCAAAATATCAATCTTCTCTTTAGCATTGCTACATTTTAAAAAACAGAAACCCATAACAGCCAATGAAAAATGTCTGGATAAATGAATTTCTTGTATTGCCAACTTTAACCAATTAAAAAGAAGGAAAACAAGCTTAATTAATGATATTTACAATCATTTTGTTTCACTGACTATTCCAAAGTATTATTAAACATTTTTCTCTCCCCATTTTTCCCACACTTAAGAAATTTGTGCCTCGCCTTAGGTTATCTTACGTGTTAATATTTATTGTAATAGAGAGAGAAGAAAAGGGTTCTAGATTGAAAAGAAGATTCTCGGCCGAGCAGAAGAGAGGGGGCGTGGTCGAGGAGTGCTGCTTTTCCAGCTGTTCCTACGAGAATCTACTGCTGTATTGTTCACAGGTACAGACTAGCTTTATAGAATGACTTCGCTATTAGTTGCCCGCGTGGCGCAGTGGCAATTGCAACTTCTCGGGCCATTCCGCCTAGCGGAAAAACGACCTCGAATGTATTAGGTAGACGCCATGACAACCCCCCATTTTCACGATCTTTGAAATAAATGCATGAAGACCTTTTATCTGTGGAATATGGGGTTTTACGTTATTCAATGTAATGATATTACCTAAAATATACTATAGAAGGGACTTTTAACTCCGTCTATCTTATATTTGAATAAACAGGAAATGTTTGAAATTTTAACATCCGGTGATGTTAATACATTCGAGGCTGTTTTTCCGACCTCTGACGGAAAGATCCGAGATGGTGCGATTGGGCGCAGTGGTTAGAGTGTCTGCTCCAATCATCATCTCGGGTCTTTCCCTCAGAGGTCGGAAAAACAATCTCAACCGCTAGTCGGGAAGGCCCGAGAAGTTACGATTGCGTCTGCTCTATAGTCGCGAAGTGAGGAGTTGATCCTTATAAGTCGCGGGTTCGAATCCCACTGTGGGACGTAGAGACCGGTCCTTCTGGAAGAGACCGTATAAACCGAAGTTCGGCGTCGCAGTAGGTGCTAGCACAAAAAAGATCCCTCCCTACTCAATGGCTCTAAGTGCCGAGTATAGGACAAAATTTGCAGCTTTCCACCGGCAAGTGGTGGTGTCTCCATATGAGTGAAAAATTCTCAAGAAGGACGTTAAACAATATACAATCAATCAGTCAATCGCTATTAGTTACAATAAATTGAATAATGTTTTTTTCCATGCAGAGAACAGTTTTCTTTACAGGAATTAAAGCCCTTAAATAATTTGTTTACCTATATGAATGGTTAACGTTGTTCTCGAGAATAAGTAACTCATATTGAGACGCTTTCAGATTCCGGTGGAGGGCTGCAAATTTAGACCTATACCCATTGAAAAAAGAGTGATCTGCCATCACCTTCTAAGGCACAGGACCTCGATTTATACTAACCGGTCTCAGCGAGCCACGGTAGGATTCGAACCTACGAAATAAGGATCAACACCTATACTTCGCTACTCTAGAGCAAACCTCTAACCACTGTGCCATGCGAGCGAACCCGAATAATAACAAAAGAATTGAAACATATTGTGAGATAACTAGAAAAGCATATAAACGTGTAATATCAGGTATATCCGCCAAAGAGGTGAATGAGTTTTTCCTAGATAACTATATATATTAGGCTACCTTAATTATTTATTAGATAATCGGTTTACCATCATTGGCTAATTATTATCGTTAAGCACTCGTGAATTATATGGTAGGAATATTTCTGACCAATGCAAGAGATCGATAAAGGATATCTGTCGAATTTGTCGTGATAATTATATTTATCTTAGTAGGAAGTACATTTATAGGTTTCTCTGGACATGAAATATCTTCTTTGAAAGCAAAATTTGAATGCAACAAAATTATGACCATCACATTTCCCGACCCTTCTTATCCTATTAGTCGTATAAGAAGGTCAAGATCCTGAAAACGAGGCTTATTAATTTCTTATCCTGTAGCTTAATGGAGGATTTGGCAACACTGATTTTGTGTATACAGTCAATAAAAGTCAGACCATTCTAAAATAATCAGGAGTGACAAAATCCATCATATTAGAAAATATGCATGTTGTACAACAGGCGGAAATCAAATGTTTCATAATAAAATATTGAATATGTAAACAAAGCATGCTTTACTGCACGTATGAATAACTTTTTAAGTTATACAACCACTTTAATTAAAATGTAAAAACCATATGTGGAGGAAAATATGATAGTAACCTATTTATAAATCATAATTACACAAGGTTCTGAATTGACAACAAATGTTTTTGTTTTCAGAGCATCGATCCTATAGACGTATTTGCCGCAGTTCAAGCTGAAACAACAACGACGAGAAGACCAACAACAACAACAACTAGAATCACAACAACGGCAGCAGCACAAACAACAACAACAATAACAGCCGGCAATAAACCCACGACGCCGGGGCATGCTGACAACAAAATCGTGGATAGCGCGGCCTGGAGTTTGACCCGGAGATGGTTTTACGTCAACCGACTCGGGCGGTTTCGTGGACAGGTTGGGAGGAGGATAATCAATATGTGATACATTGTGAGCTCTGATTAGGGTATTATCCGCTAATTCCCAGAGTTAGTGGTAATGACAGTAACATGTGGCCGCATCTTCTGACCAACTCTGTGACATTCTAAATGACATTCGTCTACCAAGATTTTAAATTATTGAATTTAAGAAGCAGGGAACTTTGTTTTAACGATCATGTATATATATAAATCAAATCAATACAGTTTTCACATTTTTTCCAGCAACATTCTGCTTCATCTACAAACTTAAAAAACTTTTTAAACGTATATGTTTTTTTTCAAGAGAATTGTCAGTATTACTTTCAATTTCTTTGTTTCTCAAAAACATACTTTTTGCAATGTTGATATATTGAATAGATTGATAGATTCACACTTGCTCTAAATTTTAATGGTTACAGTACCTTTAAAAAAAACAGTAAAAAAATGTGTATTTTTTCCGGATCAGCTAAAGGGCTGTAAAATCAAAGTTTCTGAAAAAATTATACCATGTGTTCAGATATTTATATTGAAATATCCGCTCGCATACTCGCAAGTATGCGAGCGGATCTAGCATCTATTTTTAATTAGATTGAGTCTTCTCCTTTCTATACTTTGTACAAACACAATGTTCACTGGCTCAACAGAAACTGTTTGCTTCCGATATGGCTCCTCGTTATTGTTAATTAATTAGGATCGTAGGAGACCTTTTCTAAAGTTAATCTTTAACACAGTTTGTATAACGTAACTCTATACACAATGCAGCTCCGCAGAAAGAACTTCTTTTTATACAAGCCCCCCTCTCTTCCCCCTTTAGACATACTAAACAAGTAAACATACTAACCATTACACATACGTAAAGAATCATATGGAGCACTTCACTACTTAACATTTTAAGACTTCAATGCAGCATTTCGCTTTTTATAGTCATTTTTGCCGTGATAATTTCATCTTTATACATCCAAAATTTGAGGTCGATTTTGGTTGTCACTTAATTTTTCCTTTGATTCTGCATGCAGATTATTTTTTGGTTGTAACTTTACATACTATCGATATATGTTCTTTTCTTTGAGATGTTATATACATTTTCGCTGCATTCATTGTCACTGAAATGATTTTAAGTTTAACACGTACATTTATGTCTAATTTGTACAATAAATGGTTTCGCAAAAAGCTGTTTTGTCATTTTGTCCTGGAATAAATTCTAATAAAAGTTTTAAATATCTATGACTTGAAATGAAAAAAGAGAAATGATATATGAAATAAGAAGTCAAAAAAAAAACAAAAACAAAAACAAAAAAAAAAACAGAAATCAATATCAAAAGTTTATTGAAACAATGCAAATTGTGAGCACAGCAAAAAGCGGCCGTATGTTAAAGACCAGCAGAGATGGGAGGTACTCGACATGCAAGATCGCGTAAACGGAGAATATCAATAGATATTTCAATGTGAATTTCAATAAGCAAACAGTTTGTAATTTGATTCGACCATTCATAGCATTTGCAAAATGCTTACTCAAAACAAAGTATATCCTTATATCATCAACTTTTATGATCATGGCTTGCATCGTCGTACGTATAGAGCATGCTCTTCCGCATTGATTGGCTGATTAATCGTAATCGTATGTTGTTTTACTCCCATGGGAGATTTTTACTGCTATAGAAACGTCATCATATCCTTCTAAGATCTACCCTTGTAACCCAGGGCCATTTAGCAGTTAGGTTTTTTTATAGCGCAAAGTCCTAAGGTACGATGGAACCTCGGTTTTTAATTTTTCAACCGAAGAAACGTGACTTTCAATCCTAGTGTTAGGCTCTTGGTGAAGGATCAGTCATTATAGCTATGCCTACTTTTACCTCCTCTAAAGATTTAATTCGGCGCAGCCTGTGAGATTCATACCCGGGCCTCCCGATCACAAAGCGAACGCCATAAATCCAGGCTACTATGACAGACATACGAGGGCTGTTCAATAATTAATATCCTGAACTGTATTATAACATACAATACAGATATCATATGACATTAAGCTTGACTTTCTCTCATTATTGAATCTTTAATGAATTTATAACAGTTTATGTGACCACTTTTCATCATATAGTTTCATTGTGAGATGCTGGAAAACGAGGGCTATTCGAGACACTGCATTTAAAATGAATGGTAAAGAATCAGTGAACTAGAGTGCAATCAATAGCTTCTATGAAACTGCTCTAAAACTTGTTAAGAATCCCAAAGAAATATTCAGTTAAATATGTAAAATTTACAGCAACCAATGTCTGTTTTATAGACAAATGAGCAGGTGGATTTCAATGATAAAAAATTATATAATAGACATCAAAAATGGGTTTACCATCCTTAACAACAAAATTTATAACAACTAATGTACTGTTTGCCAAATTTCAACAAATGATGTATGATTGACTTTAAGACACATAGCAAATTTAATAGACATGATTTCGGGAGTAGTTCATACTGTTTTAAAGAAACATTTGACAGTAAAAAAGCTTAGTACTCAAAAGTCACCCAATGTTTTGAAAAATGAGTGAAAACGACAGCGTGTAAGAATATCTAAATAAATATTTTAAAATATCAGTAATTGTATTATCCACGTTTGTTTGAAATGCAAACAGATAATTAAACTTGAATCTATTGCTTAAAACCCTCGAAACAAAATTTACAAGAAGATGTACTCGACAAATTAAAACAGCAAAGGTCCGAGAAGAGCAAAGAATTGCAAGAGCACAAAGACATATTTGTATGCAATTTTTTAAATATTAATGGTCGTGTTATTCAAATTCGTATTCGGGGAGGTAGTTTAATTTCTGGAGGAGTTTAGAAAAAAAATTTTTTGCAAAAAATCGAAAGGTTTATGAGAGGAAGGAACTAGAATCAGGAATCCACTACATTAAATTTCTTCATGATAGTGTCCAAACCCGCACACCCTGAACAGTAAAGGAGTTTTTTGAATAAACAATAAGTTAATAATTTTCACATTAATAATACTCGCCCGAATTTTCATCTTTTGACTTGTTTCATTTTCCAAACACCTTTCAGAAGGAAGAAACAAGTCCAGGAAATCATAGGATCTGCCATTTTCCAGTATACTAAGGAACATACCTAAAAAATGAGTTCTGAAAACAATGAGAAACTGGATAAAAAGTGTTACGGACATGTGTTTCAATTAAAAGAGAATAATAAGTTAAATCATTAAGACTAAATCATTGAACAGCGTCTTTTGCTTCTTTCTGAGCACCGAGGACATTATTTATTGAACAGCCCTCGTAAATCCACACACAAGTGAGTGATAAATCTGATAATGGTATATCAGTTGCTGCAAGAATAGTTTACGATAGAAAAAGGTCGTTCACTTAATCATAAACTGTACTTGTTTTTGCCATAATTATCGTTCTTTATATAGTAAAATATCCCAATATATATCTGATGTATGGTGAAGTTTATATCGAGAGCAAAAGAATTTATCAAATCAGCGTGTGAATGAAATATAAAATGTCGATATTTTTAATTGACAACTTGAAAGCCACATCTAGACACTTCTGATAAAGCTTTTGATAAAATCTGCGTCACGTTGATATAAAAAATAAATGGAGCGCATTAAGACACATGAGAATTCAAACAGATTGTTTGAAGACCTTGACCAGAAAACCACACATTAGATATTTTCATTCAAAATCATATCAGTATCTTTTTAAAATCAACCTCGGGATATCATACTTTGTTTTTTAAAGAGAAAAACAAGTTTGCAGATTCTTACCATAATAAAATACATAAGACTGTTACGCTTTTCCTTTTTTTTTTATTTCTCGCTAGTCACACGAGGCAACCCTCACTGATCCTGCAGGCTAGCTGGAAGTCAGGCGTATCATTGTCATCCCTACCTTATGAAAAAAATAATGATACAGAAACCGTTCATGTTTTAAAATAATACTGGTTTATCATTGAAAAATATAAAAATCAAAATTCCATTCAAACAATACAAATAGGGGCATCTGGACCTAACGTTAGTTAAACATAAGAGATGGGATCAGATGCCATGGAAGGGCTGCAAAATTTAGTAAGCATTCAGGGAGGGATCCTGTGACACGGGGCCTCGGTTTATACGGTCTCATCCGACCGGTCACACCCGCCGTTTACTCCTTGTCATGATCGGGAAATAACTGGAAAATCCGTCGAAAATTCAGTGTGTTAATCTGATATTATTATCTAGATTATCTTTAGTCCCCACTAAATATATATACAAATGAATCTTAGCAAATGCTATGTTTATATATTAATAAAATATTCATTTCATGCAACCTTATCTTCAGGCAGGTGCATTGGTGGTGGTACCACTGGGTAGTGAAAAGCGTCTACTGCCTTGTAGATGACTTTGTAGAGCCAATGGTTATGGGAGTAAACCCAGAAAGAAAATCCGGGGAGAAGGAACTCGTTAGCATTGGATTACAATCATCTATGGGAAGGGCAACCCAGAAAGAAAACCCGGCCCAACAGTGGCGGTTTGGCGCACGGCGAACTACCCTGCCCAGTTAAAAATAACTAGTTACAGAAACTTCCGCAAATGTCATAAATGAAAACTGTGTCTGCGAAGACTTGGGCCAAAACACAGGCAATATGACATCTCCTATGAGATTGATTGATAGTCTTCTAAGGCCGAAAGAAAAACTTTGAGTTGGAGCATGGAATGTTCGCACGATGTACGAAACATCAAAGACAGCACAAGTTGCGGATGAAATACAGAGATGCAAGTTGGATATACTTGGAATAAGCGAATGCCGATGGATTGAATCAGGCAAGATTAGAATTACTAGTGGCCATACCATATTGTACTCGGGCACAATGACAAACATCAAAGTGGGGTTGCAATCATGATAAGCAAAGTCAAGATTAAAACATTGCTGGAATGGGAACCAATTAGTGATAGACTAATTAGAGCAAGATTCAACTCCAAATTCTGTAAACTGACGATCATACTATGTTTTGCTCCAACAAACGATGCCGAAGAAGAAGTGAAAGATGAATTTTACGAGCAGTTACAGATGGTTGTCTCTAAAGTCCCTCAGCATGACATGCTGCATCTTTGCTAGCCAAGGATTTCTGATACGCTACTCTCCTCATGAACCCTTGGCATATGGTGAAATCAAAAGACGGGATTGTTTTCGTCACGTGATCTCGAATCTATCAGGTACACACAGATTGCGTCATCGACAGAAATAAAAACGCGTTGTTTAAAAAAAATTCAATCAAAGTTTTTTTCAAGAATAATTAAGAAGCAATAATTAAGTTACTGTAGTGAGAAGTACTTTTTTCCGCGTGGTATTAATTTACGCTTTGTACGCGGTCACAAATATTCCGCGGAAATTTGTCCAAGCGTACTTAATATAAATGTAAGGCATATATAGTGACTTTCTAAATACCCGCGTAATTTTCTACCCGCGGATTAAACAGAAATTGAGATTCCGCGGAATTATGACCCCGTGGAAAGAAGTACGTCTACAGTATGCTTATTTATTATTTATAGTACAAATCTGAACTTCAATATAGATTTTTAATCACATATTTAGAAGATATCGGATGACATCACAGCTATTCATAGAACTGCATGTTATCTTATGGATCGTTGTTTACTTGCGTTTTTCATTCCCGAGATTAAAGAGTCAATAAGTATCCCGAACGCAAATATCGTCATTTACAAAAAACATTGCTGATTGGTCGACCGGATGTACCGAATCCCAATCAGAACTCGAGAAAAAAAAAACAACTTCTATCAACACCGTATGCCAAGGGATTATGAGGAGAGTAGCGTATCAGAAACCCTTGGCTAGCGAAGATGGACATGCTGCTGATAATGGGAGATCTAAATGCAAAAGTGGGTACTGACAACACTGACTGTGAGAAATCTATAGGCAAACATGGCTGTGGAATTAAGAATGACAATGGAGAGCGCTTCGTTGACTTCTGTCTCAACAACAACCAAACGATAGGATATTTCCTCACAAGGATATACAGAAGCTCACGTGGAAATCTCGAGATGGTAGAACAACAAACCAGATTGATCACATAACTATAAACAGCAAATGGCGCATATCCCTACAAGATGTTAAAGTATGCCTTGGAGCAGATATCAACAGTGACCACTATCTGTTGAAAGCTATCATAAAACTAAACCTTCACAGAAATCCCAAAAAGCAAGAGACAAAAAGCAGGATCGATGTGGAAGAGTTTAAGATACCAGACACACGAAAAGCTTTCAATTTGGAATTGAAGAACAGATTCAAGGTTCTGGAAGAAAGTTTTGATGTTGTTGAAGATATTCAAGAAAAGTGGTACACGATCAAGGAAGTGTATATTGAAACCGCCGAAAAAACTGTAGGCTACCGAACCAAGAAGAACAAAGAATGGCTAACACCTGGTACATGGGAAAAATAGGTGAAAGAAAGAACTTAAAGCAGAAAATATCAGTACCAAGTCTGCAAGATTACAAGAAGAACTACAAGCTTCCTATAAAGAAAAGGATAGAGATGTCAAGCGAAGTGCTAGGAGGGATAGACAAATGTATGTTGACAGTCTGGCACAAGAAGCTGAACGAGCTGCTTCACACGGAGAAATGAGCACTGTTTACAAAATAACGAAAAATCTATGTGGTCGCACTACAACCCAACCTGCTCTTATGAAAGATAAAGATGGTCACCTACTGGAACAGAACATGAACAAGCCAACCGTTGGGTACAATATTTCCAGGAAGTACAAAATTGCCCAGAACCCGATGAACCAGCGAATCCAGACCCTGCAGTTGAAGACTTAGACATAAACTTAGAACCACCAACCCTCCAAGAAGTCCAAAACTGTATTAAAGCATTAAAGAATGGTAAATCCTCAGGCAATGACTGCGTACACGCTGAAATGCTGAAATCAGATATTGCAACATCATCAAAAACGCTATTAGATCTATCCCTACATATCTGGGAAAATGAGACAATACCACATGACTGGAGTAAAGGACTCATTGTAAAGCTTCCAAAAAAGGGAGATCTCCAAATTTGTGAAAACTGTAGAGGTATAACACTGACATACAGAACAGACAAAGTGATTGAAAAGAAACTGAGAGAGGAACATGCTGGATTTAGAATAGGAAGAGGGTGTATAGACCAAATTTTTGCCATTCGTAACATTATAGAACAGTGTATTGAATGGCAAATGCCACTGTATATCAATTTCATTGATTTTAAGAAAGCTTTTGACAGTGTGCACAGGGAAACACTTTGGAAAATAGGAAGATCATATGGAATACCAGCAAAGATCTGCAACATCATGAAAACATTTTATTCAAACTTCGAGTGCAGTGTCATCCTGGAAAATGGAATATTGGACTCCTTCAGTGTAAAATCTGGACTACGGCAAGGATGCATACTATCACCAATTCTCTTCCTTATGGTCATTGAATGGATCCAAAGAAACACCACACATGACAAAAAGAGGGGTATGCAATGGACAATGTTCAGTCACCTAGAAGACCTGGACTTTGCAGACGATCTGGCAGAAATATCAGGAAACATTATCCACCTACAAGAAAAGACTGATGAATTAAACTCCTTTGCCAAACAAACTGGGCTTAACATCAATGCCAAGAAGACCAAGGTATTGACAATCAATGCACCAGTAGAACCTGTCACATTAAATGGAGAGGCACTTGAGGAAGTTGAGGACTTCACCTACCTACCTTCAGTATCCTAAGTAAGGACAACAGTACTGGTAAAGACATAAAATCACCTCTCAGTAAAACACGGACAGCATTTGCCCAAATTCAGCCCATCTGGAAGTCAAACAACTTAAGTCTGAGAACAAACTCCAACTGTACAACAGCAATGTCAAATCAGTTCTCCTGTATGGGTCTGAATGCTGGCGTGTTGTTGACAGCGACATGGGAAAAGTAGAGGCATTCCACATCAACTGTCTTCGAAAAATCCAAATAACAATAAACCCAGTTTATCAACTGTGAAACTACGTTTAGCTCATTTTTGTGAATTTGGCGTGCCATATATATAGACAACGTATACTCAATTAACAATGGTAATTTCCATTCATATGTCGATATGATATAGCCTGGTGAGCTTGAGATAAAAGAAACCAGTCTGTCACATCTGTTTCATATTTAGATATTATACTTGAAAAAGACATTAATGGTAATCTAACAACCAAGTTTTATGATAAACGTGATGACTTTAACTTTTCTATCGTCAACTTCCCTTACGTATGCAGCAATATACCTTCATCACCTGCATACGGAGTTTATATATCTCAGTTGATTCGATACGCAAGAGCATGATCTACGTACATGTGTATGTACAAGTTGATGAAACAAGAATATCAGCAATCTCGTTTAAAGTCATCATATCGTAAGTTCTATGGTCGATACATTGACATTGTCGGCAAATACAATTTATCATTGAGTCAAATGCTGGCTGACGTTTTAAATTCATAGTTAATATTGTTAATCCATTATTTATACACTGAATTGACGAAGGATTTTACCGTTATTTCCCGACTATGACAAGGAGCACAAAGCGGTTGTGACTGGTCGGCAGGGGATGCTTACTCCTCCATGGCACCTGATCTCACCTCCGATGTTTTGGAGATCCGTGTTTGCTCTGCTCCTTTTTTGTATTTTTTTATGGACTTTGAATACTGTTCGTTAGATCTCCATGTTTCATTACCTGCGTCAGGCTGTATAAGGATTGATATTTGCAATATCCGAAACTAATAGATCATACCTAGAGAGCTAGATTTTGTGCAAGCTGATTTACATTGGAATTCTTTACCTGCATTTGAAAAGAAACAGTTTTCAGAAAAAAGAATGATATTACTGATACAAAATACTTTAGTGTTTACTTCCTTTAATCTTTTTCCATGAAACAATTATTTCATGTGATTCACCGTTTCAACATGTCAGTGTATCCTTTTTTCTGCATTTCTATACTACTGGATCAGTCCATTTATATTCTACGAAAGGGGTGAATCGCTCTTTTCGCGCCATATGTCACAGTAACTTTTTGTGACTTTTCCTTGGATTGTTCTATTGTGTGAATGGGTGTACTAACTTCTATGGAACTATATAAACTTTGTCCTTTTAACCTCCTTCTAATACTTCAGAAATTCTATCTATAAATTTTATCTCACTAACATATTGTATATATCAGTATAGGAACAATTAAGCAACACTTAAGAAATGATTGTTTCTAATTTGTTTCCCGATACCGCGGTTGTTTACTACATAAATGGACTATACCAATAATACACAACACAGTTCAACAAGTCATGGTCTCCAGGATGCATGAACATTTGTATCCCTGTTTCAGATGCACACAATAGATAAGAAACCAGTACAAAATCTTTGAATTCTCAGTGTATGATATTGGCACAACCCCAACCCCCCCTCATTTTTAAGAGAAAAAATTAATGAATACATTACTACTGTTTACTTACTATGGGTTAAAAATAAAACTGAAACGAGTGCCTGTGATACAGACGTATTTTTAAAAAAAATATATATTTTTAATTATCATTTAAAACAGGTTATTGCGCCTTGTCTCCGGATAAGTATTACCTTTATCAAGTCGACTTTCATCTTCACATCCGGGCAGTTTAAAGATGGATGCGCCCTATAGAATTTTTTTCTTCTTCAGAGACTGTGTAACATTGACTGTGTAACATCTATTGGAGATATATTTCAGCATGGTAAGATACGTTGTCGTAGGAGGAGGCATCGCTGGAGTAACCTGTGTGGAAACGGTAAGAATTTTAACGCATTCGATATATAATTGTGGAGGAAAAGGGGGGGGGCATTTTGCCAATTTTTGGATATTGTCAGTTCACCACTGTGAAGTTTAAGCGGAGGCCTATTTACCAACATTTAATATAATAGTATGTATACTTTAGTAGTATATTTTGTACATGCGTTTGATGAAATAGTAAGTTTTGAACATGAAATAACAACAATCTTGAGCACTGTGGAGCTTACTTAAGATAATTTAGCTGTGTCTCTGGAAAAGCCCTTAAACTGGGTCTATAGCATTTTAATATGTTTAACGAAAAAAAGTTCTCTATGAGGAGCTCTGAAACTGATTTTACTTTCAATATTAAATTTATTAAGTGTGCAAATAAGTGCTGTGATGGCCTGTGAATAATATTGTGTCCAGTGTCAACCATATACCATAATATGTTTTACGGAGTGACCGTTGGGGCGAGTGCAGCTTTATTTTAACTATTTATAAAAACCTATAAACAGGTTACACTTGTACTGCCTATCTTCAGTTCATTAAAGAAAGAAAGAAAATAAGAAGAAACCACAACAATAAAAAGAATCACCTCCCATGCATCAGGTTCGAGATTCCGAACTTCTCAAAAGCTTCCGACAAATCAGAAATACCCGAGCCGTTTGAGTGATGAAAGTATGACGTCAAATAAAAGGTCATGTTGACGAAGGATGCAAACGATAGTTTTGTGATATAGAGATTGCATAAATCGTTGTTTGTAATAGTAAGTTTTTGCTATGTATAAGCCACCATGTTGCTATGCACTTCAAAGGATTATTGGGATTTTTAAATTTTCACATGGACTCGTAAAAATTTCTTGGAACAATGTACAGATTTCAACCCGAATTTCCTCCGTTCGTACAAGTTAGTCGTTTGAGCTTGCTACGCGAGCGGCGCTTTGTGCTGCCTCTCTGCACTCGCTATTAACTGCCCATATTTTTTATCTTTTCCCTTTTTCTCTGTTGACAGTGATTACTCTGTTTTTCAAATACAGTAAAACATGGATATAGCAAACACCTCATCATGAATTGATGCTTAGAACAAAGTGATTTTCATGCTTCTTGACTTCAAAATATATTATAAACTTAACAGATATAATGACAGGGCTCTCACACCACTTTTTGGGACTGGGGCCGGGGCCGTTCAAATTGGGAAAATTATCGTCAATTTGGGAAAATTCACACAAATTCATTTTTAAAAAATCCTCAAATTTTGCTTTTCTATCATTTTATCATCAATGGCATGCTAACTCTGGTTTGAATAAACAGTTAAACAGAACAAACATGGGTACGTAGGCTATTTATGAAAGTTCATTAGCTTTGTCATTACTATCTTTGAGTGTTGATATTGCGGTTATATGTCTTACTGCGTGACGGTCGCTAGTCACATAGTCCCGAATTTCCTCGATCACATGGGCAACTTTGCTTACCAATACAGCGCGAGACTGAACATGCCAAAGCTCGGGTATGTTTCTAGGTGCAGCTTACTATTGTTTAAATGAAATGTGTATTTTTGAAACCAAAATGCTGGTTTTTGTCGAAACTACATAACAAGATACTCTGCACTCATAGTTGGATACATTGTTTGTAAAAACAACTAGTGCTAATTGTAACGGGGACCGTTACAGATGTTCCCCAAACTTTCCCCAACTTCATTTTGGTGCCACATTCCCTGTAAGCTTCATCAAATAAGACAAACTCTATGCATTTGAGGCTTTAACAACATTTAACCAGGAGAAAGTACCAAGTTCATTCAAATTTTAGAATTCCACGCGTGCGCATGTGAATGCATGTGCGTAATGACCATATCATCTTGTCTGTACAATCTTAATATTTTAATATACTAAATATTAAAGTAATTAATCCAAAAGTATTAAAAAAATACTCTCATTAAACTGTATTTTTGATTTTACTCATTTCACGTGGAAGCACGTGCATACATGAGCATGATGACCATACCTTCTTGTAGAAGTCCATTACATCTATCTATGTTCTAAATCCCACCCCGTTTGGTTGAAAACCAAGGGAGTTATAGCTGTTTAAAGTTTCAGCCAATTAGATTGCAGTGCACGTACACGCACGTGTATGCATGTGCATGATGACCATACCATCTTGTAGAAGTCCATTATATCTATCTATGTTCCAAATCCCATCCTGTTTGGTTGAAAACCTAGGGAGTTATAGCTATTTAAAGCATAAGCCAATCAGATTGCAGCGCATGTGCATGCACGCTTTTTCATGATAATTGCTATATATTTTATTGTAGGATATCCTAATACATGCCTATGTTTAAAATTTCAAAGGATTTCGTCAAAAAACAAGAAAGATATTGAGACTTTAGTTTCAGCTAATCAGAGCAAAGCGCACGTGCATGCGCATGAGATCTTGCTTTTTTGACCATGTCATCTTGTCTATGCTTCTAATATATTCTTATAGTATGAGTTTCAAAGCATTTCATCAGTAATTTAAATAGTTACGTCTGTATCAATTATGTTGGGCATTTCTCATGTTGCACGTGCGAGCTCTTGCAAGCACATGTGCATGCACATGCTTTCATGATAATTCTTATATTACAGGCTGTAGATCTCCCTAATGTATAACTATGTTCAAAATTTCAAATGATTTTATCAAAAAACAAGAAAGATATAGAGACTTTAGTTTCAGCCAATCAGAGCAAAGCGCACGTGCAAGCGCGTGCAATCTTGCTATTTTGACCATGTCATCTTGTGCATACTACTAATATATCCTTACATTATGAGTTTCAAAACATTTTGTTAAAAATAGAAAAGTTACGGTTTTATCCATTATATATTGGTCATTTCAAGTTTTGCACGTGCGCGCTCTTGCAAGCACGTGCGCGCAAAATGACCTTGATTCCGCAAATCTACATAACATGTCTACTGACCCTAAAAACATTTCACCTAAATCGGATGTGTAGTTTACAAGATCATTCGCGGACAAAATTTTCCCGAGAAGAAAAATAATAATAACTAGAGCAAAGCTCGTTGCAAAGCAACGAGTAGGTCTTCCGTCCTGTTTCACCGGAAGTAACCGGAAGTAACTTTCATTTTTACAAAAATGAATAAAAACGCCCAAAAATGTATAAATCACCTTAATTTATGTTGATTAATGCTAAAATAAGCCATTTTTTGCTACTTCCGGTTTGACCGGAAGTGACGACGACGGACGGAAAATTAATTTTTATGATCACAGAGAGATATGTTACCCAAAAACGGGTTAAGAACGGCAAAAATACGCGTTTTTCGACTACTTCCGGTTTGGCCGGAAGTGACGACAACGGACGTTTTCTAATGGCTCCGTTAGATTGAGCTTGACATTTTGAACAACTTTGCTTCTTTGACGTATTACAAATTCTCAATACGTTTTGAGATATAAAGAAAAAACTTTCGGCCCCTCTAGTCCCTTAATTTTAGGGGCCAGCCCTTTTTTCGAGATATGATTTGAAAGATCTTAGAATTCTACACTTCTTTTGTTCTACATATTTTAACAAAATATTTCCAGGTAAAAAGATATCGTAGAAAAGGTGGTAAAATTTTTGAAATTCGCGATAGGACTATTTTTGCGCCATACCGAGCGCCGACGTGCGGCACTTCAGATAAAAATGAAATAAATTTTACATATCTATAGACTTTGGTCTATCATACCTGAAATTTTCACGTTTCTATCTATAGCCATTTTTTAGAACGTTCGAGGACAATCTGACCCTTCAAAAATCATAAAATCGACAATATCTCCGAACCGGAAGTGACGTCATTAAATCGGAAAAAAATGCATAAGGTTCAAGTAATGTTACATAAGTCCTGAAAGTTTCATGGAAATCCATCGAGCCGTTTTTGAGAAATCGCGTGCACAAAATCGGTAAGAAAAAAAAGAATAATAATAATAACTAGAGCAAAGCTCGTTGCAAAGCAACGAGTAGGTCTTCCGTCCTGTTTGACCGGAAGTAACCGGAAGTAACTCATTTTTACAAAAATGAATAAAAACGCCCAAAAATGTATAAATCACCTTAATTTATGTTGATTAATGCTAAAATAAGCCATTTTTTGCTACTTCCGGTTTGACCGGAAGTGACGACGACGGACGGAAAATTAATTTTTATGCTCACAGAGAGATATGTTACCCAAAAACGGGTTAAGAACGGCAAAAATACGCGTTTTTTGACTACTTCCGGTTTAGCCGGAAGTGACGACAACGGACGTTTTCTAATGGCTCCGTTAGATTGAGCTTGACATTTTGAACAACTTTGCTTTTTTGACATATTACAAATTCTCAATACGTTTTGAGATATAAAGAAAAAACTTTCGGCCCCTCTAGTCCCTTAATTTTAGGGGCCAGCCCTTTTTTCGAGATATGATTTGAAAGATCTTGGAATTCTACACTTCTTTTGTTCTACATGTTTTAACAAAATATTTCCAGGTAAAAAGATATCGTAGAAAAGGTGGTAAAATTTTTGAAATTCGCGATAGGACTATTTTTGCGCCATACCGAGCGCCGACATGCGGCACTTCAGATAAAAATAAAATAAATTTTACATATCTATAGACTTTGGACTATCATACCTGAAATTTTCACGTTTCTATCTATAGCCATTTTTTAGAACGTTCGAGGACAATCTGACCCTTCAAAAATCATAAAATCGACAATGTCTCGGAACCGGAAGTGACGTCATCAAATCGGAAAAAAATGCATAAGGTTCAAGTAATGTTACATAAGTCCTGAAAGTT